AAACATTAAACTTTTCATTTAGGTGCATGCCGTCTTCTCCTTCTAACAAAGGATTTTATCTGGTGGCAGTAACGCAAGAATTAACATTCTCACCGCCTAGTCTCTATATGCCCAAATGATCTGTGAAATATTTAACTGAGAGAAAACAACAGACCATAGATAATTGGGGGATGAAAATGACGCACAAGGACCCATGCATCAAAATCGATCACTGCTGACGCCTCAAAATATTCGGTCAGCAATGGGGCTAAAAGAAAAATAAGGGACCCTTTTGATCACTAACAAGGCGCATTAATTTACGGTTTTGTCAAGTAGAATGTTGTCTCATCGGAGGAAAACGTCCACGCCGACGTGAAACATTATAAAACCTACTGAATATTATACTTTACCCGAACAAAATAGCGACTGTTCATGCAGATTTCCCGATCGGAAACATAATTAGTCGTTGGACAGTCTGATGACATTGTACCGAACCCCAAAGCACAGACGAATGGGATTTGTCCAGCAAAACCAATCACCGAAATTCTTGCAGTGGGGTTCACTTCAATCGGACCAATTTCCACAAAGAAATCCGAAAGACTGAGAATTATTGATGGAACTGAAGCCAAAACTGAAGAAAAATGAGCAACCTGACTATTTTAAGGGAAGTCATTCGGGGAAATCACGCCCTCTCCATGAGACTAGGCCATGTTTCTAATATCAGCGAAGTATAATGGCGGCAATCCCTAAATTAAATAAATTTCGATAAATTGTTTAGATATCCGCATATTTAGACCATGATCTAATTGGCGTGCATTTTCAGAAGTCTTCTAAAACTGACAGAATTCGGGCGACTTTTACGGAGCTACAAGCTAGGCGGGATGCATGAGTAGGGTGGCTGTTGTGCAAACTGTCGCATTTCGTGAGTTGGGTTTCGTCAACTTCGTATTTTTACCTCGCCGGAAGACTCAGTGCCCACACAGTAAAACCAGAGCTTGGCCTCTAGAATTTTCACCTTTACTACTTCTGGGCCCTCCAGGTTCTTCCATATTCAGTCGCAGTCGATCAAGTGTACGCTCGCTTTATTATTCCTCACTACTTATCAGCAAGTGCGGACGCTAGGTAGTTAATGGGAAATTTCACTGTGTCCTGTGGAACGGACAGCGAGAAAGTGTGGCTATGACAAATCTTGCACTCGGTTATGGCTAAGAACGCGGTTGGAGAGTTAGGTTAGGCCTGCACTATCTCAGTATCTGCCCCTACCGTTGCGGACAGATGACTGGTTAGCTTTAGAGTAATTGTCAGAATTGGGGTCAAGTTTGGGATCAGAATAGGATTTATGTTTGCGTTTAGGGTTAGGCATATAAGCTAGTGTCATGTAATAGGTTTATGTGAGGCTTAGGCCTTACACGTTGTCCAACACTACATTTGGTGTTAGGGCCAGGCCGTGTCATCGGGTAACGAATTCGAAGTCATTGTTTTGCGACTTTGTCTCCCCTCAAGATTAGAAGCCTGTACACGTGGACAATCCCTAGGAGGTTGACGGCAACTGCCTCTAACCTAGAACCCACGTGTTGTTCTATCCACATACGCGGCGCCTCGGAGTTCATCCATCTGTAGTCTCCGAATGCCTCCCACAACATTTTCTCACCGGAGACATACTTTCCTTTTGTCCTAGGAGGGAAGCATAATAGCGTTGTCCTCAGAGAATCCGTAAGGTAGGCTAGGGAAATTAATCTAGTGATTGCTCGTCGTCGTATGCGCGTAATGTACGACTGGAGAGGAGATTTGGGGTTGTAGTATCGTCGTTGTTGGTAGACAGTCTTACATTTTTATAGATAAGGATGTACCTTTGAAGTCCAGTTCCTAGAACAGACTTTACTCGACTTACAAATTACGACAGGATAGTTTGTTTGGGAAATTATAGCGAGGAATATATAGTTGCTTGTTGCGAAAGTTTATCGAGTAGAAAAATGCAAGGCAATGACCGTGACGATATGGTGTTGAATGGGATGCGATAAAACGCCCAAAAAGAAAGTGGAAACGAGACGAAAACATATATGCAAATAATTGACAGAATGGCTTAAAATGGAAGTATCCATTGTAATAAATAAAAGGAATATGGAAACAAAGTCTGTAGGATTTTGCCGGGAATAACAATAAATCGTGAGTTGAGGCATGTCTTATTAGCTTGCTGCCCAAAATTAGCCAGAACCACTTTCGCCGCTCGGCCCTGAGCCTCCTACAGAAAGTCCTAATTCGCCGGTTAAAACAGGTATGAGTTATTAGGTTTTTTTAGCTGTCACACGCTGACATCAAACGACTGGTGACTCTCGACACAATTTAAAGGTGGTACCCCAAACGCCAGTTTCCTTATTGGCCAAGTAAAATGACGTCCAAGTAAAGCACTTTTTCCGGAAACACTTCTGTTTTTGTTTGCCTCGCTACTGCCTCCTCTGGTTTTTCCTTTCATTCCTTTTCGAACAAGTGTCTGGTATACGCAATCCTTCAATTCCATAGGTTTGCATTTTTCTGTACGCACTCTTCTTAACTCGTTCGCGTTTCTACGACAGGCCAAAGTGAGGGTGACCAGATGTGGGCGCGGCTGCTTTGACCAACACGTCTAAACAGCCCGTATGCGCTTGCCGCGTCCGACTTGGTCCCTAGCTCTTATAGGTACCGGACATTTTGGAGTAGTCTCGGCTATCACACAAGTGAGAGTGAGACAAGCATCACATTATGGAGGAGTCATTGCAGCCAGATCTTCAGCCGTGAGTAGGACCAGGTCGCTGCGTCTGCTGACAACCGTCCAAGTCACCATTAGCGCGTCGTAATAAGTTCGGACGCGTCAAACACCGATTTGTCAGGAAGAAAGGCACTTCAAGATTTTCCCCACTTGTCAGTCTCGTGCACCACCGGCCTCTCCTAGCCAATCAACCAACTGAAAATGAGTTTGGGTACCTTGTGTAGCCCGACATGAGACTTTCGGCTATCGCAGGCTACGAGTACCCACGCGGGTACGTCAAGCAGTCCGTTATTCGCTGTCAAATTTGGCGCATATCACTGTAGGGTTGGCATTCGGGTGATGGATGGCTGCTGTGTGTGCAAATATGACCTGATGACCCTTGCAGAGAATGAATATGAGAGGAATGTGTGTGTGGTTGTTGTTCTGTATGCGCAAATGACCTTGCGGATCCATACGTTTGCTGAGTTTGCAGGTGCAGTATTTGCAGAAACGGACGTTTAACGGGTTTTGTTCTGGAATTCAGGTACCGATTCCCCAGTTATGTTTGAAACGTGCGTCCAAATTGAGGAAAGGAGACAAGCTGACACTAAATGCCTTCCGCTTGCGTGTCACCATGTTAGTGGACATGCGAACCGAGACGGGAAAGGGATTTTTCACTGAGACAGACGAGGGGCGTCTTCGGTGATGATAGCGATGTTTTGTGGTGCGCGGTGCTAGTTCGCACCGATATTTCAGCGAGTCAGTGAGGACATACTGGCGAGCATGGCGAAGACATTCCAGTCTTTCGAGCCATCTTTTTTGCACTGTCTTCATCTGTCCGGTTGGCTTCGAAGGTAGCTGTTGCAGTTTAACCGACTGTCCGCCATGCCAAACGTTCTTACGAAAACATTTCACGAGTCACCTGATTAACTTCAGGACACCTGACAAAGACTCCTAGTGTTTCCTGCTTGTTTCGTCTTTCTCCGCCTTGCCTGCGATTGACCGCAGTCCAAATCCCCCAGGAGAGTCGTTTCAGGTTACGCTCATCTGTCATCCGCCTGTTAGAGCCACTTAATTGTAATTGGATCTGATTCAGCATGACACGGATGCCCAGAATAATGGTCGACTCGAGAATGTGGGTGTCCGGGATCAACCCCTCTCAGGACAGCTTATAAAACTGTAGCCTAGCTTTCTCATTTGGCTTTGGCGAATTGTATTAGTCCTCGCCCCTAGTAGTGTTTGTAATGCAGACTTGTACACCTTGAGTTTCATGCGACGATTTCGGACTGAGCGTTGTAGCCTGTCGACGGCTTGGCTAGTTTTAGAGATTCGGAACGCAACCTTGTGGATATTGATGGTCCTTGCGATGTTGGTATTTAGGTAAGAGACTTAGTCTACCTCTGCAAGGCTTACGACTGACAGCTTTGCCGTGGATTTGGTGTATCCGACAGATGACTCTGGTGGACATGATATCTGTTTTCTTCGTGTTAGTGGTCCACACCACTGCATATCTGCTTTGTTTTGGGGGTATCAGATGTACAGACCTTGGAGTTTTCTGTGATGACATGCACACAAAGAATTCTGGATAGTAAGTATCCTATGGATCCAATAGTCAACGTCGACGCCCGTACAATCCTCTCGGTATGTATCCACCGGCATCGGGGACACATTGAAGCTAATGAGGGCTGGGGCGATGATGCAGCTCCGATTTCCCGCCACAAAGTCCTCTGATGTTGATTTATTGGTTGCCACTTGCGACATTGCGCTGTCATAAAGCCACATCTTAATCAGAGCGGGCTATTCAGGACATCGGAATCTCCTAATTACTTTCTTGAACCCGCCTCTTTTCAGTGTCGAAGACCTCGGTGATATTGCGACTTGCAAAGGCTTTGTGACAAGTGCAGGCCGTCTCGGGTAATGAATTCAAGGTTACTGTCTGACACGTTACTAGTCCTGCAGCCTGACGATATGCCTGATGCTTTGACCGAAGTTAGCTGTTTAACTGTGTTCGAGAGAGATATTGTTAAATTGAGGTCTTCAGATCCAGGGAGTCCATACCAGTTAAATATCTTAACAATACGTGCGATTTGTGAGGTTTCCTACGTACCATTGATCCTTTTATTCGTCTAGGATACTCATTTAGTTTGTTCTCCACTATTTTGCACCTACCGTCTTATCTATATGTCTGGGTGTTTGGCATATGACACCCGCACCCCCCGCCCCCTGTAATCCCCTATTTAACTCATTTTAGTTCGCTAGACGTGGGCTGTCTCCCATCTGCAACGGGACCTCCTTAATGAATGTACAAGCAAAGCCAAATCGGGATCTTCTAGACCCAAACTTTGAGTCATATAAGCTTTCTTTGAGGCGCACTGCAGTACTTTCCGCCTCTGAACCTAATGGTATCTTTGGTTTTCATTAATATAATCTGTCAACAGGAATTGATTTGAAAACTTTGGGTCAAGACACTTTCTCAAAACTGGAAATCCGTCTCTACTTTCTTCACAATGCACTTATTCAAGACCGTTTTTCACCCGATACTTTCTATTATTTTTCAGCGGATGGACAGGTAGCACATTCCCCAGATCGTTCAGTTCGTCTTTTATCCTAGATCAAGGGTGTCGCCGTGAGACCACGAAAAGAACTCTTTTGCTCTGGGTCGACTGTATGGAAAGTACCATCTTGGACGGAATCTCTTGACAGCGGCTCTAAATGCAATGCTTCAATGAAACTGTTGTCCGATTACGCCATTGTATGCGATGGTGCTCGTAATCTCTATATACTGGACACGCCCAATCGGATTTCAAAGAGCTTCAGCGCCTGGAAAGTAGGTTTATTTCTGTCGCGTCCTTATCCTTGCTCGGAAAATATTTGTGATGCGCAGGCAGCAGCTTTTTTGGCAACGATAGGAGCAAGCTTCGGATGGGAGCTGACAGGGCTATCTGGGCGGATGTTGACTACCACCGCTATTACGAGTATACATTGGCGCAGCATTGGTCGGCCTGTCCGTCTTCTGTACGCCTCTTGGAAAGCTTGTAGATATTAACGCTAAAACGGATACTAGAGTGGGTTTCCTTGCGGCGCACATGGAACTGGAAAGCTGATTGATGCTGCTGCGTCAGTGAATACACTTGCTTTCGGGGACAGTCGCCATACGCCCGGAGAGTCCTCCTGATTTTCAGGAGTTTTACGTGTTCCCCTTTGTGAGTGTAGATAAACTGTAGCGTTTATGTCTGCTTCTACATGAAGTTTTCTACTTGTTTGATAGTCGTATGTTCATTTTCCGTCATTTATAGGTTGTTTTGGAATTCGAGCTTCCTACAGTGGCTCCATCGGCTTACTTAGTGGATGCTGTTCGGTCGCCCTCTTCAGCAGAAATTCACTGTCTATTGATATCAGTTGTCGCAGCCGTTGGGTCGTCTAAGTCTAAGGTTCATCTTGACTGGCTGACTTTTGGAAGTAAGCTTCCTTTCTTTTTTCACTCTGTTCTACAAACGCCGAAAGGTTTGCTTGAAGCATTTCCCACTTTCAAGTGGTAGTTCTAATTTAAGAAAAAACCGTTCTGCATTCAGACCTTTCTGGTTTGTGAAATGGTTCGTAAACTGATCTTGCCACTATGTGTAATGCGTGACCACATAAGATCGGATTTTTTTGCAGATTTGCAAATTTGCTTTATATTTAACCGGCCGTCAGCCGAGTTCCAGAGGAGGACGTGAAACTCTAGAATGTAAACTTGCTCACTGTTCAGGCAATGACTGATAAAGAACTGTCGACCACAGAGCATCAAGGAAGCAAATAGGGCTTCACTTGCGCATGTAGTTGAGTGCTGTTTTGCGATTGATTAGGTATTTTTCGTGCGTTTACGTCCGCTGTTGTATGTCGGACAAGGCGATCTCGCTGAAAAGTTCGTCAGTCGTTCATTCCGCTGTTGTATTTTGTGTATAAGTCCGGCTGGGTATTGAACGTTTGGGTTTCTTTACTTTCCAAAGCTTTGGGAAGATATACTTCAGAAAACCATCACTCATCCGTCGTTACATTCTCAATAACACTCACAACTCGCCACAGACATAAAGCAGAGCGTGGCCAACACCAGGAGGCAAGTATTACCTAAGGATTTCAGTGGCTTCCGGATAGCTCGTCGACACTGACTACATTTCCAGTTTGCTAGGAATTCTCAGGCGGACTGCTTCATTTAAAGAGGGGGGCCGTTCTATCACCTGCCATCTTTTGACACACCGAATAGCCCGCCGCTGGGCTATCAATCAGACTCAGCCCTCTCTGGCTTCCGGTCGCTCGGGTGTAGAAGCTTTCTTTGATAACAGTCTTTCGATTGCTCTTGTATAGGATGAAAATATCGACAACCGCAATTATCCACTACTGCGGTCAGCGGATTGCCATTTCCGAACAAGTTGATGCAAGTCACCTTGCAATCCAACATAGTTGCTGGCTACTGAATGTAGACTAAGAGGAAATAATGGTAGGGGATTTGGGTGACAAGTGCGACAGATGCTTTCCGGCAGAACGCTTCTGAGAGCGGTTACTAATCCCGACACGGCCTCATCCGCTGATTCACTTGGTATGTAGTGTGATCCATCGCAGTTCAGGCCGCATTTGAACCGCTGCCTCGCGTCTGATAGTCTGCGTCTTTGACCTCTGTCTTCATCTCTCTTTTTCCTCACGCCCGCCGCAGTCTTTTGTGTGTCCAGGCGCACCCTTGGCGCCATTTTCATTTTTTTCAGTTTTCAGAACCACTAGCCAGCTTCAAGATGTGTGACCTTTAGCCTGTCGATTCTGTGGTTTTCTATTAATTTCGTCGTTTAGTTTCTTCCGAAACCTGGGGCCTTGTACGCCACCGGCGTTTCTCAAGCCTCTCCTTTCCTGATTACGCGGTTCTCGAACAGACGTCTTCGTTGCTCACAATCTGCACAAGTGACCCCTTTTCTGCAGTCCTCGACTCTGCTAATCCTGAAATCAAGCCCGCCGGTGCGCACTTTCATTGTCTTGACTTTTTAACTCCATCAGAATTGTCATATTTGCTTGTGCATATTCCAGTAAATATCCGTGAACGTTTCCTCTTTCAGCCAAGTCAACTCGTCAGTGTTCTTAGAGTTTTGAATACCTCCGGTTTGCTGGCCTAATTGGGATCGAACTTTTTGGATTTACTTTGCCCAGAGTTTTCAAGGCACTACGGGCGCCTGTATTCTTTGCTGTCGACGACTGTGTGCTTACGCGTGGCACGCACGACCTGGCTGTGCTCGAATCAGGCCTCCAAAGGCGAGGAAGGTCTCGAATCTTATAAATGGGAGTGTTATAAAGACCGCATTAAGAAAAGGCCACCATAGTCTGAACCTCTGTAATGAGTATAAGCCAATTATCTCGTTAGCTGGCGGCCTTCCAAGCCAAGCTGTTAGGTGTCTCATGATGGTTTCGAAGCGCGTTCGCCTGTTTGTAGTGCAAAAGCTAAACGGCGAATACTAGTTTGAGGGAATTATTCCCTCCCCCCCAACACCAGTGGCAAGCCCATCGACACGGTGCGGAGCCTCCGCCTAACGCGTGCGACGTGCTAGGATGTTTGGCACCTAGGGGATTTGCTGTTCTATTCACAACCCAACCCACAAATTCTAGCTAACGATGCTGATCTCTTTAAACTCTGCATAGCATGAAAGCTGTCATCATGACATCGATTCGACCCAAAGCCTTTGGAGTGGCATGCTCTTTATGTTATACATTTGCCTTATAGCAGACAGTCAGAGTTCTCACTTTACGAATTGTCTATTTCTACTCAGACATTGATGTCTTCCAATCAAACGTGTTCCTCACCTGCTCCCATATATTTAAGTAAATTGGCCGTGCAGTAGTGACCTAATTCTCAAAATATGTCTAGATTAACGAAAAAACGCCAACCAATCTGAAACCAGTCCGAACGCACACACAAAACACTAAACTAATAAGTAAGGACTTCCATTTAAATGTAAACACAAAATAACTACCTCCAATCCTATTTCGTCGGTTAGAAGTGGTGATTTTATTAAAAAAAAACGGCAATGCAAAAATGCGGAAATTTGTTCTAAATATAAAAGCTAAATTTCCAGAAACGTATAACGACTGTCTATGCAAATAACTACGTACGAAAACTGGGAAAAGCACATTAACGCCTAAAAAACTGTTCCTTACATACATTTGCAGCAAATGTCTTCCGAGAAGTAGTGTTGTGTGAAGTCTGACGCAAAGTCATGTGTGCAATGTCCGGCCATGTGTTTCAAGACTTTTGCGCGAAATCGAGGTAATTTTTCCGTTCTTCTATTGTTGTAGATGCGGTTGATTAAAGCCAAGAGGATTTCGCTTGATTTTGCCGGTAGAGATGTCACGGGAGTGCAAGTTTTTATGATGTCACATGTTAATAGATCGGTCATTGACAAACAATTTTAAACAGAATTTGCAGATGCAGTCGTAAGCACACCGTTTTCTGTTTATCAAGAGTACTTTTCTTCTGTTAAATTAACACGTAATTTTTGGAGATGGTGGAGTCCGCCGAGTTCCAGAGTGTCCTTGAAGTACCAGTGAGTACTGCTCGAAATGATACTTTTGTGTCTTTTGTGTTATGTGTTTATGAATACCTTTTGGAAAGCATTTACGGACGTAGTAAGTACTTGAGCTTTCCTTTTTATGCAGATGACTGGGTCACATTTGAAGGACTGCCCGAACACGAAACCGCATTGTCGAAAAAAATTAACGTTTACAATGACGTTTAGCGGTGAATATGCCCTTGATCAGTAGAAGAATCTTCTTTAGTAAATCACCTCTTAAAAAGCGCTTTAATACGACATTCCATTGACAGATATACACACGCTTTTTAAGATGAAGTCGAAAAATGTGGACTTTTAACCAACTTGTTCACGCCCCCGAAAAATGCTAAATTTTTTGCCGCTGACGAAGGGCGGACGACAACTGATGGGTATTTTTGATCCCATTTCGCTGAGGCCCCATCTGTTTTTTCGTCCTCTTGCTTAACTGCGCGGCATGAAGAACAGGTTTCTCAAAAATCGAGGGTCGTAGTAAAAGCCTTGGAGTGAATTGATTTCCGAGCAGCCTCATCATAGACGTCCGCGCATTGATGCGCTCCTTCGCTTAGACTATTGTCTTGTTTGACACTGACATTCAACAACAACAACGCGAAGCAATTGTTTAAGAAATTCTAGTATCCTTATTCAGTACTCTCAGGTTACTTTCCACAACTGCTCACTTTTTGCTTTGAATGATCTTTTCCCGCAGAGCCCTCCAACCCTTCACCGCAACCACCTCCAGAAGATGGTTGCATCACCTCCCCTCTTCGTTTTACTTGGTCTCAGTGCCAACCCGATGCTTCCGAAGACGATAGTCGCCTGGTGAACATCTTGATCCATCTTGGTAGCCTAAAACCACCAGTTGTTTCGAAGGAAGCTTTCAGTATCTCTTACGTATCCTCTACACCAGCTGGCTACAGCGGATCTTCCATTCCGCGCATAATTATTCAAATGCCTACTGAGGACCCCGAAAAGCCGCCTGTAACACTTTGCGACGCCCATTTGTTCGCTCCTATTAACTGCGACGAAACTATGTGGACGTACGACAAGGAAACCAACTGGTACGTATTAAAAAGTCAAATTGGTTAGCATATGTCTTCAATAATTTGACTTTTGAAACGTGACGTGGGAATATTCCCAAAAGTTAGACTGCACAGAGGCCTATATTAGTTTCGTCCATTTGGAAATTTCATCCGAGTAACACTACCTACCAGAAGTTTTAAGTAGGTGTTATTGTTTTGCTCTTGTTTTTTTCCGAATTAGGTACATTGTGCACCGAAACACATGAAGCATTGATGAAGATATTTTGACACAATTTCAGTCTGGAAGGATGACTTAAGTTAAGTCATGCACAGTTGTATGATGGTTTTTGACTGATCATCCTTTCAACCACCCGTGTAGTTGACAAGACTGGTCTCTCGGCTTTGCCAGTGATTCTGATGTGCTCCATCCAGCTGCTATTTTGGATTTCACTGTAACTTTCTCCACAACTTTCTACTCGAATCCCATAAGATTTTGCATGCAGACTGTGCAGTAGTTGAATGTGACAAGGCCCTTCCCTTGGCACTGAACACAAGATTTTGCAGACTGTCATTTTCGTTATGCTGAAATCTCGTGGGTCCCCCCTGGTCGAAATTTACGGCTCCTTGAAAATTATGCATCGGGAAGGATTTACGAACAGTCAATTTTCCCAGAGTTATCTTTTGCGAACACGACAGCGTACCCAGCGACGCCGGCACGCCTGAATTCGTGGCCGAACTAACGAGCATTCGCTTAGATTCAGAAAAAGAGGAGAGCTAGGACATGCGAAAAACTGTCCACCTATAGTCCCCAAGGGACAGGTGCAAAGCAAAATGCGGTAATCTTTTCCACTGAAAAACACATTTAAAGATTTCTGTCGATGTTTCCTATGTTTCAGCAGGTCAGTCCTCCAGCTCAAATTTATCCCCACACTGCGGCTGCCTATCTGAACGATCCAGTTCAGACGGTTTTTGTTGTCTGTGTTTGTGTTATGCCGCCTGCCTTGTCACCTGACTCGTTTTCGAGTAAAGATATGCTGAAGTGGTCTTTTTATCGATTGCAGTCATTAATTTACATGCAAAATCGTCTCTTATTGGTTTTCTTAGCCTAGACGTAACCCTCATAAAAATCTCTCCAACTCCATGGTTGCGGCTTTTTGCGGACGCTACGGAGGAGGAAAGGCTTAATGTGCAGTATGATGAGACAACAACAGATGGTTCCAGGCTGGGCCAAGCAGACACTGATGCTGGTCAGATGCAGGGAAATTTCAATGTCGAGCAGTTGGAGGATGTCGATATGGCTGCCGCTGGTGACGATGTCGATCTCCTGCTCCAACGCATCGATGGCGAAACTTTGAAGACAACCATGAAGGCGCGTTTTTGTTGGAATTTTCAACCCTTGAATCATCTCTTGGGTTTCTTACCGGAGTAATATACAGTGAGTGACCGTTCTCATGAAATGTCAGCCGAAATTCTGAAATGCGTTTTCAAATCAGAAGCGTTGCTTCCGTTGGGTTGTTGTGTTGATTATTATTTCGCAGTCGTATAATATTTCGGACTCGCCAGGATGTTGGCTTTTGAATGCACTTCTTCTCGACCTCCTGCAAGAACTACACTTGGTAGAAAGTGGCTACTTAAATAGTATGCATGTTTCACATTGATTTTCGACGGCCTTCTAAATTCAAGTATATTTTATGGAAAAAATGCACGAAAATACGCCATCTTTTACTCATTTTGTAGAAAATCACGTTTTCGTATTTTACGCTCAAAGGTGCGCCTTTCGGCCTTTTAAAAAAGTTTTCCAGTGCCCGAATAAATGTGAGCCAGACCAGCCGTTGCATTAGCGTTTAGAGATTTCAGTCTGCAAGGTGCATACTCTCCGCGTCAGGAAAGTCATATATTCCTCTATGCCTTTAAGAAGATACTATACGGAGATCGTAAATTTCGTAACGGATGCGGAAAATGTTGTACGCTTCATGAGGAGCATGAATTAATGGCCAGGTACGACGCTGTATAAATGCACATTTAGCGGTCTAAAAGATCTCATAATTAGAAACTTTTTTTGAATCGGAAAGTATTCTTTTCTCGAGTGGAAAATACGAAGACGACGTGGTTTGCTACGAAATGAATGAGAGAAAGCATATTTTCGTGCCTGTTTTCCATAAAATATATTTGGATTTGGAAGGCCATCGAAAATCAATTGACAAATGCATAATATTTGAGTAGACACTTTTTCCTAGTGTAGTTTTTGCAGGAGGTTGGGAAGAAGTGCATTCAAAAGCCAGCATCCAACGAGTCCGAAATATCATAGGGTTATGCTGCATGATAATCTTCATTACAACCCCACCCACATAATCTTCCCTAATCGAAAACGCATTGCAGAATTTCGGCTTACGCTTCATGAGATCGGTCACTGAATGTATATAAAGGGGTATTACTTTTGTTAACTAGTGAATTATGCCTGACTTTGGACCGCTGCGGATACCTTTAGGGTTACCAGTTCATGCGCTGGTAGTCGCCACAGACGCATTGCATGTCGATGTCTTGCGATTTCACTGTAACTTGCTGAAATGTACTGTAGAGACACGACCACGACGGTAAAACCCCCTCTGAATAACTTTTACGAGCCACCAAAGAAGTCTCTCATTGATCATAGGTTACAATCGCCGGACGTGCATGCGTCGACCCCGCTTGGTCAACTGGCCTCAACTCAGCAGTTACTTGGGAAAATGCTTTATTTTCTGAAGATAAACTCGAGCGTGACTTATACACGCTAATTAAACACACGTTTTGTAGGGATCGACTTCTTGTCCTAGACTGTTCTTATGCACGCTCCGCTGAGGTAACTTGTCTTAGGAGGAGGAAGGAGAACTGATGAAGTCGGCATGCACTGAATCAAAGTGGGCCATAAAACCAGTGTGTTAGCAATACACCCCAAGAATACCTACATCCTCCCGTAGTGGGCCAATTTTTGTCACGTCCAATCGACAGTTGAGGTGGTAAAAGGCCTTAGTTGCCGCAGAAGGATGTGTTCAGCAATATCTCTAGTTTTTACGGCCTCAAACGGAGCTGGGAGCTTCCTCCTGCATGGCGAGCCCACAGACTCCATCGTTATTTTATGTCGCTTCTCTCCGGAGGTGAACTTCATGAATCCCTACGTGCAACGGCCATCTAGACACCTTTTACGTTGGGGAGTTTAGGAAATCGCAATATTGACCACTAACCGTTTCAGACGAATATCTGCTGCCATAGGAAAACTTAGTACTTATTTTCGAAGCCTCACTCAAGAGACATTGAGATTTCGGGACTGTCCATCCCCTTAAGCGTATTAACTTTGCTTCCTGTTGTAGGTGGAACTGCTGGGCAATCAGTGGCTCTACAACGCACCCCTTAAGGCGAACGCGCCTGCCTCGCACCTTCTGTGCATCCGCCATGACGTGGACGGCCTCCTCTGGTGTCCCGCTCCCCAGTGGCCGCAGCATGTGGCCACCCTACAGGCCTTCGGCTACGTGCTCGCCAGCAAGCGGTCACACCGTTTCGTCGCCTCCCCACCGGCCCACATCACTGGCACCAACGTTGCCCATCTGCCCTTTGTTGCAGTGGCCGATCTGTCGCGTCACATCTACGTCTACTGGCAGCCGCCTGCTCGCCGTGACGCCAGTGAGATGGACGCGGAAGGTGATGATGGTGCCACTGCCGCCCTCCTTCCTGGACCCGGCGAAGGTAACACCGAGCTGCGGAAGCGTCGGGTCGGTGGAGGAGACAGCGAGTCCCGCGTGGTGCACGTGGCCTGGCAACAGGTAGTCAGCCTGCCGGATGCAGAGGAGATCATTGGCTTTGCCGCATTGGCCTCCCCCCTTCCAGCTTGCGTTGTAGCCACAAAACAGCGTCTCTATCTGACCTCCTTGGTGGAGGAGAATTAATGCCCGCGGCTCTTGCAGTTCTTCTTTGCATGAATTCGGATTGCGGCGTACATCCATGTGTCAACTTTTCGTATGCTTTTTGTGAATTTTTTAAAAAAAATAGAACTGACACTATTTTGCAGCGCGTATCATGCATAATCAGAAGTTTGAAGTCGCACCTAATAATATCACAGCAACCATCAGGGGGGTCGGCCTATGGAAGCACTTGTCGACAGGACAGAATATTGCATAGAATTCCCGCTCTCTAGTACTGCAGGGCTATTTTACGTAAAGAACACAATGACTGATATGGAAATATAGGATGACCATTCTTAAAACCTCACTAGCTGACTGGACAGACTAGATGCTCAAAAAGTGCCGGTTAACTTGGGTTCGTCTCCACCGGTAACGGTCAAGTGAGGCTCCTTGTAGGATTACAGGGTGTCCATAATATTAAAAGAACCTCCTCGACGTTTGTTTTCTTGCGTACACTTTTGCCGGTCGCATCTGGATCAAAAAACACCTAGGTTGGGTAGGCGGTACCTCATGCGGTTTCTTATGAAACCTGTCGAAATCGGGCGTCATAATGCCGACTGGGAAGTTTCAACAGCTCACTACCGATTTGTGCAGATGCTTGCTCTTCACATAGGTCGATTAACGAACCAAATAACTAGTGGAGTTCTGTCTGTGCGCGAGACAACTTGGAGCGTGGCGCCTGTGTTTTTGGGTCCATCAAATCGGTGAGTGCACCCTCGGCCTCTACTGGCCCGAAAAAACACTGCTCAAGGATATGATTGAAATCTCCGAAGTATGGTTGTCGGAGATCAGCGAGAAGTGGTTGGATAGGCGCGTTGTCCGCCTGGACGTCGGTTGGAATCCAGGAATTCGTGCACGGCCTCACAGGAAAGCTGGGCGCTTCCTGCTTACTGGAATTCAGATTCTTGGGAAACCTCCCGTTCTATCTCTTCTAAGGTATAGCGTCCAAGTAATGTACGCGTAGCCAGTTGTAAGGTGCTCAGCATGGTTCGATCCGTGACAGAAAAGGTAAGGCTAGTTTTTTCACAGTTGGGCACTCACTTAAGTCGCTCAACTCCGCCGTACAAAATTTACTTAGTAGACCAGATTTCCAGAAACCACACAGTAAAATCGCACACTTTCGAAAGGCAGTCTAGCGTTTGGTTGATTTCAACATTCCTGCGTGGAACTGTCGCGGCCTCCTTGTCACTGAAGTAGGAAGATTTAAGTTTGCGGTGTTTGCACGCTCCTCTGTGGTGCAGCGTTTTCAGCAAGTCAGGCAGATCAGGAATTCGAGGCAGAACTCCGTTGGCTCCTGGGCCACCGGCTCATGCTCTGTCGACTGCGATTCCGGAGAGGTGAGGTCATGTTGGAGCGCCTTCACCGATCCATTCTGGCCATAGGGTCGAATACGAAAATCTCGTTTTTTCCGGGCTACGGTCCAGAGCCCGCTTGGGCCGACGCCTAGCGACGAGTAATCAACAGCTGATAAACCTTAATGAAGAGGGAGCGAGAAACTGAAACGGTGCTTATTTGTTAATGCCGGCGACTGAGGTTTTCTGTCGTACACTCATAGACAAGGATGGGCAGAAAGTTAAGCGGAACTTCTGGGTTCACTACTCAAAGGCCTCGATATTGGCTGGGAACTCAAGCTGGCATAGCAGCCTTATATACATACCGCATTTGAAGCCTTCGACGCCATCCCACTGCAGAGGCCAAGGCGAAGTGGCAGAAATGCAGGGTAAGTCGGCCCCACTGCGGCCGACGCATTTCTACGTGTCCCCATCCAACGCATTTCAGGATCCGGATTAGTATTTTGGGCTGGCTTCGCATACGCCGCAATATGAACGGTAACATCTTGAAACATTAACTATTGACGAGTTTCTTTACAATTGCCCGCATTGTTACAGCACTTTTCGGCTGAAATTGTTCTGCCCGACTGCCGCCGTATCCGTCACAAAGCAGAGGCGACTACTGCCACTACAATTCACAATATTTCGGCCCGTCCCCAGTACCAATACACATTAAAAGGTATGACAGCCAATTTAATACACATTCGAAGACGTAGTTTGTGTAAGTTGCTCATGAACATATATGGCCCTATGTACGCCGTTGGAGTGTGCGCATTCCGAATCCGCCCTTGTTCGTCAATCGAGTACTTACCTTTCCCATACTTATTCCCTACGAGAGTGACGGTTCAGCGCATTTTCAGAAAAAATAATTGTGACAGTTCTACACTTTGTTCTTATTGGTTTGTCCAGCCCCGCCCACTTAGCGTGCCATTTAGGGCAGAGTCGATGAAGGCAATAAATTTCTGCTGGTCGTGATTCGATCGACCTCCTTCGGACTGTCTGGCAAACGACGCTCCTCACTTCGCCTCATTCGCCGTACGCGACCTTGCTGGGCAGTTGGTTATAGCCGAGTTTGTTTGGTTTATGGGTGATTTGGGAGTAGTCGGACGTAGTTCCTGGACGCAGTACTAGGTGAGTCTAGTGATTTCCTGCTTTAATATATTTGCTCCAAGATTTGACCCTAATTCCAGCTGGTTGCTTAGAAATCCACTTCAAACAACACGCGTTTTATACAACACTTTTTCATCCTATTGAATAATACCCGACGTGTTTGTTAATTTGAGCCTTTAATCGTTGGCCTGTATGCGGGTAGCACACAGTAGGTGGACGTCCCACATGAGTAATGCCACTCAACCTACGACTGACTGGTTACCCAGTCTTTGAAGTGTGATAGCCCAGGCTAAATGCAGGGCTGCGTGTCACCCGTCTGGGTCTCAAGAAATGTTAGCATGTGGTATGCCATGGCCAGAAAACCAGGGCCCTCGCAGCCTGATGTGAACTGGCTGTTCTCTGGCCCCTGGTCCCGTCATGGTAGATGCGCTTGCGTGCCTCTTGGGTATACAGGTCGTGAGCATGGCTGTCCAGTCATTCTCGTTTTTCTGACCCGTTGTGGTGCTGTTATTGTTGGCTAAAACCCTGGCTAAGTGATTGTTGTGGACCAGGAAGTGTGGTGGTGCGCCTAGATGGCAGTCAAACGAGGACTCGATTAATCGAAATATCGATCTGCCAATCGCCTATCAAGCACTGCGTGAGCAAATCAGCAGTGCAGCCCGAGGTCACACCCGGCAGAGGTGAGCTAAATACACGATGAGTTGTACAGTTTTTCATTCCTTGACGATGAGCTCTCGTGAGAGTTCGAAACGTCGGATAAATGAACAATTGGTCCCAGCGATCGCCTTCGCATCATATATATATATATATATATATATATAGCAGCGAGGAGGGACGACAGAGAATGCGGGTAGATTGATACAGCACTGTTTCGGGCTTATTCTGCCTTCATTCAGCCAATCATAACCCTGACCACCAGCAGCTGAGACCAGAAACACAAACATGCGCACAGACGCACCTGGCGCAGTCGGTCCACCACTGAGGCCTACCAGATGGGTCATAAGCACTTCATCGAACCGAAGTTCATCAGTGCCTCGCCACCTGTCATTCTCTGTCGCTGCAGATCGGGTATTTATCAATCAGGAATGGGCGCACACCGATCTATTGGCTTCACAAAGCAAACAAGCTCCGTATGTGTGGCAAAGGTCACGAACA